GTCGCGCTCAGCCTCAGGGAGGCACCGCGCCAGGAAATCGGAGCTAGCTCAGGGGGCTCCGCTAGTGTTATTAGCATTGCCTAATAATTCTTTTCTTGGTTTTGACAGCGGCTCCCACCTGGGAAACTGGCTCACAGAGTTGCTATGAAGTGCCCTGGACCTTCAGAGAGCCTGAGACTTGCCCTCTTCCTGGAAAACGCCATAGCCAGAGAGGCTAGGATTTGGAAAGTGCCAGTTTTCCAGGATCTCTTCCTGAAGGTATTCATCCTCTTTGGAAGCACCTAAGGGACTGTGCGGGATGCAGTGCTAGTCCTGCCATCTAGTCCACCTGAATGCAAAAGTCATCTTACGTAGACTGAGCTTAAGGAACAGAAGCGGGGAGGGTCTGTCTTTGTCTCATTTTACATCTTATGCTCCGTTTAAACCATGATTTAGAGATGCTTTGCATTTTGTTTTGACTCAGCCAGTTTTGGGAACTCTGGTGGAGCAGGCAGGTAAGAGCAGGCTCTGAATCAAGGGTTTTAGCCATAAATAAAAATGTCACATCATAGTTAATTGTGCTCTACTGCTTTGTATTTCTCTCCATCTTTCCATGCGTTCAAATGGCAGGAGAGAGAATTTACTGAGGGCTAACAGAAACCAGTCCCATTCCTGGCTGTTCAAGTGAGTCAGTCACTTACTGTAGGAAGCTACAACACTTAAGGTTCTTCCATGTACAGTGGAAACGGTGATGCTCAGTTGCTTCTGTAAGGTGCTTCTGATCCATGGAACAAGGCACAAAACTGCCCTGAAAGCCTTGTCCCTTTTTCGCAGTAGTGTAGAAATGCTATTTTTATAAGGTATTTTTATTTGCAAAATAGCAAAATGCATAATGTGAAAACTAACATTAAGCAAACTAGTGGTAAATGTTAGCTGTTCTGTGCAGGTGCTCAGCCCTTTCAGCTACTCCTACATTAATGTTCAAATGCATGCCACGGACATCTATGCATTGTAACGGCAGCAAGATTAAAGTCTTTCCTCTCTCCTGAATGCATCTTCAAATAAGATATAAGAAATAAAAAAATTGAATATATTTTGCATTATGCCGGGGGTGGGGGGGGTGTCATAAACCTGACTTCAAAGGCTGTAAAAAACAAGCAAACAAAAAACAAACTTAAAAGAGCAAATCCAAATCTGCTCCTAATGCCAGTTTCTCCCCCCACCGAGGCTGTCTGGACGCAACGCATGCTGCAGCAGAGGCTTCGATCTTTTCTGGAGGGGGAAGTAATGAGCATGGGCTGTTATTAGGGAATAACAGCTCGGTTTGGTGGTTCGGTCACACTGTGCAAGGGGAGGGCAGGGCGCACCTCAGACCAGTCCTCCAGTGCCTAGGCGGTCCTCAGCACAGTTAGAGCCTGACTGACTGCACAACACGGACAAGTGTTTAAAACTGCTCGGAAGCTTGGTCTTTCCTTCGCTGTGTACACACAGCCAACAACTTTCTTCATTCCAAGCCTCCAGACAGCTGAAATGTTAATTACAGCACTTAAAATTAATTATTTGAGTCTTCCTTTGGAGATATGTTAACAAAATCATCAAAGGGCTCACTGTATTTTTTTTTAACTTTGTTTCTTCCCCTCAGGGTACCGATATCTCTCTGTTGTGTTACGAGAAAGCGGTTCTCTGGATTGCAGAAATAAGCTCTCAGTTCCAGTTCTACCCTGAAACATTTGCCTTAGCTGTCAGCATCCTTAACCGGTTACTGGCATCAGTAAAGGTAGAAAATCTCTATCAGCTTTTTTTTTTTTTTTTCCTGGCTAGCTTACTGATTGGACATATAAGAGATATGTAATCTGTTTACACCCAAAGCACATACTGCTGTTTGGCAGCAGATTTAGGGAGCAGTCAGGGTCTTCACTGGAGAAGCTTTTAAGCACACAGACTCGAGTGTGTGCTGAGGTTCCACTGATTTACAGTCCTTAGTAGAGGTGTTTGTATGAATTGTATGTAGTCCAAATGCTGTGATAAATACAAAGAACTCATTATAACCTGGTTGTCTCTGCTAAACAGAAAACATTTTCACTACCGCTTTTAATATTTTAGTTTTGAAACCCCTGTTTTTACCCAAACTGTGGGCCCATCATTTTCTGCCATTGAAGTGACAGCAAAGTTACGAGTAGAATTGAATCTTGCTGCTCAGTTCTGTTTAGATCTGTACTGGCATTTGGCAGAAGCATATTAGTTAATAGCTTACTTAGCAGGAATAATACTGCATTGTAGATATTTGGCATTGCATAGTCCAAACTGTGGGGTACATCAATAAAACTTGCAGCAAGAAGAGGATTTATTTTGTTTCACTTTGGATTTCCTTGCTGTTTCCAGCTTCAAATGACTCTCAATGCAGCTAAACTAATTCAGAAGTAACTGTAACCTAAATGAAAGTTTGAAAGTTGTGTATCTGTAGTAGAATGACAATTATTTCCCCCAAGACTGTTATCTTCTCTGCTCAGTGTTTTCTTCTTCTCCCTTCAGGCCCAATTAAAGTATCTTGAGTGCATAGCAATTTCCTGCCTTGTCCTTGCAGCAAAAACCAGTGAAGAAGATGAGGTCTGTATGTTTAATTTTAAATGCACTAAACTCATCTCTGGTTGTTTTCAAGTTATTTGTAGTTCCAGTATTTTAACAAGTTGGGCATAATGAGAACATGTGAACTTGGTTACCCTAAGTAATTCCTAAGGGGGATAAGAGCAACATTTTCAGTTCTCTTTTCATCATCGTCTGGAAAAGCTGTGACTTGTATGAATGAAAGACTTGTATCTACTTCTGTAGAGGATCTGTTTCCCTCCTCTGCCCCTACACCTCTTCCTTCCCTTCTTCAGGATCCACAGCTGCAGTAAAGCTCCGTCCGAGGGTAGAGTCAAGATGTGCACGTACAGCTTTGTGCTCACAGCACTGGTAATTCTGTTGCGATAGGTCCTGGGAGGGTAAGGTAGGGAAGACAGAGCAGAGGTTTTTCAGAGGAGGCTTAAAAATAGATGAGTTTGCTTGCAGTTAGGACTTGTTACTGAACCTGTTGAGGAAATGACTCAGGTCTGCACCTCCAAGGTGAGCATGTACAATCAGCAACTACACATGTAAGTGTGAGATTGCATAGGATAATTATCCAGTGCTTATAGCTAAAGCTTTGTGTCAGAAGTGCACTGATAGACTTCCATGAGCCAAATAGCCCTTGAAAAGCACTTCAGATTGCATTTCTCCTCTTTCCTTCATTCCTTTTTGAAAAAGAAAAGAGGTGCGAGTTAACAGCTGGAAACCAGTTGGAGTCAGACATGCATTTCTCCTTGAATTTCTGCTGCAGTGAAACGCTCTTCATAGCCTTTTTTAAGATGTGTTATCTTGAGGTTATTCTTCTTTTCCCTTCTGCTAAAAAGGAGAAGTTAAGACAATGACCACAGGAAACAAGACAAGCAGGAACAGCTCTGTAACACAGGCCAACAGGAAGCCTCCTCCCAGCTTGTCAGACAAGCAAAAGCACCGAGACTGTTAGCGGTGAACCTGCATCACAGAGGCAGTGCTACGGAGGCTCGCAGTGACCCTGGGAGCTACCAGCCATCATTCTTCCCATGGGCCTAGGTTTGCAGCCAGGTGCCCTGAGGAGGGTGGCCCATCTTTGGTTAGGATGGGAGCTACCTAGGAAAGTGGTACTCCTGAATGAGCGTTCTGCGTAGCGTTTTGGGACACATACAGGCTTGTTAGATCCCTTTGCAATACATAAACGCACACAGCACTGTGTAGGAAGTTGTCTTCTTTATTTTTGTTTAAGGTTTTCTTTTTTTTTTCTCATACAGGTAATACCATCGGTGAAGATGCTCGCAGCGCAGAGTGGTTGTAAACGCTCTCCAGCTGAGATCTTGAGAATGGAAAGAATTATACTAGATAAGCTTCACTGGGATCTTTACACAGCAACACCAATGGATTTCTTAAACATTGTAAGCACTAAGTTTTGCAAAGTTTTAATTAATTTTTTTGTTTAAAGAAACAGCTCATTTATCAAATAAGACTAGAAAACATAGATGTGAGCACATACGCACATACACATTCTTCCCAAGATGCTTTGCAAGCTGCCTGTTTTTAGCTATCTGCAAGTCTTTTGAAGAATGTTACAGTGAATTTCTTTAAATGTACTAATATTTAAAACTTTTTTTTTTCCAAAAAATTTACTCCCGTTTTTAAAGGACAACTAAAGTGGATGTTAAAAAGGTTCTCATAATGCATAACTATATGCCATTTTTTTTAAATACACACTGCAAAAATATTTCTAACTCTTTCCATTCTATTAATACTGTACATAGAAAGCTGTCAGAGTTTTGCTACATTTCACACACAGGTCGTCTTAAAACCATTTTCCTTTTCATCCCGCTAATAAAGTGCCCTTGTTTTAGGCAATTAGACCATCCCATTCTGGCACTTAGTTCACATTGCGGTTGCTAAATATTTGATAGAAATAAACTGCGTCTTCGAGAAACGATCATGTGCTAGTAAGGCAAAAATCATGTGATATGAACACATCCTGGATCCCTTTCTATGGTAATGTGCAAATATTAAGCCATCTCAGGCTGCTGATTGTGAGAACTGCCTCTCTTAGGTGCTTGTTTCCTCAGTAAATTCAGAGTACAATCATAATTATTGGGTTTACTCCATTTGTATCTGCTGGCCTGAATTGAATCTTCTAGATAGCAATCTGGATAATGTAGAAACTTCAGAAATTGTTAGGAAACACAGACCTTTTACATTCATTATAAGCTCAAAAACAGTTCAATGGTGGGCAGGTACAAACACAAAACACAAAAGAGGGGGAAAACCCTCTAGGCTTCCTGATATGAGTCAAAATTAGTCTGTACTTCTGGTTGACAACATATGAAAACATACAAAGTTCACTGACCTCTGCTTTTTTAAAATATATATATATAATGTTTTTCTTCTCTCCAGTTCCATGCCATGGTGATGTCCAACTGGCCCCATCTACTAAACGGGCTGCCTCAGATGAATCCTTCCCGCCATGTTGCATTCTTGACCAAACAGCTACAGCACTGTATGGCGTGCCACCAACTATTGCAGTTTAAGGGCTCCACATTGGCTTTGGTGATCATCACCTTAGAGTTGGAAAGGCTGACTCCTGATTGGTTTCCTGTTATTACTGATCTGCTAAAAAAAGCACAGGTAGGAGTCAAAATGGCCTTTGATCACAAATCTGAGGCCAGGACATTGATAAATTAATAAAGTGCACCTGGATTTACAACCAACATTGCACTTTAGCTGACTTCTGAGAAGCATGTCCATGTTCTGCCTTTGCTGCAGGCCTCGCTGGTGCGAATAGAAGAGGGAATGAAGCTGCAGTTGGGAATAAAACTGCAGTTAGGATCTGGGACTGAGGAAAGGGCCTTCCCTTTGGCAGGGAAGGGAGTTTTCCAAAAGAGCATGGCCGCAGATGGCTCCCTGTCTCCCAAACAGGAAGGAGTTCTTCCACAATGGGAGTGTCTGAGAGTACCTAAAAATCTGCTCACCCATTTTGTCCTCAGGTTCTCACCGAGGACTTCAAGGACTTCTCAGTGCAGTTACATTGCTTTAAAGTGTGATCAGTTTGGCTTCTAATGATATACATTTTAAAGGTCAGCTTGGTTTCTTTAACCTTTTCTCCAGTTTCATAAATCACATGCTTTTTAATAGATTGTATACCTAGAAGGCAAAAGACCTGGGTTGCCCACTTACCATCGATTCATCTACTGGTCTTGAATTTGTCTTAACCGAGCCTTCCTCTATCACTCCTGGCTGTCACAGTATCATCAAAAGAGAGGGAGAGCTTGCCCACCTTTTGTGCAGTAGTTCAGGATCTCTTGCTGAAGTGTTTTGCATCAGGGCTAAGACAGAGCTATTGAATCCAGTATAGCCTGCCCCTCCCCTCCCTCCAGTTACAGAGTCATGGGAGCACTGGCCGGAACAGAGAGTAATTTATCATGAACTTACAAAGAAACTGTATTTTCCTTGCAGGTTAACAGCACTAAATTCATCCACTGCAAGGAGCTTGTGGATCAAGAGCTAATGCGCTTGCAGCCATCCAATGCTGTTTATATTTTTTATCCCATCAGTCAAGCCATCCAGGCCCACCCCAAGGCAAGGTTACCCTACTGTCACTCTTCTGAATGGGTGAATTCCCATCAAGTGAGGCTGAGGGTTTCTGTAAGCCAGCCAGTCTCAACAGTTTTCACGCCTACTGCAGCCCAAATTCCTGATGACACCATGGAGACAGATGAATACTATGATGGATTCAAGCACCTGTACAGTGAGGATGAGGGAGCAGACAGTGGGAGGGTGAGCATGGGTAGCGTGTGCCCTCATCTGAGGCCTGGCGAAGGCAGCTCCCCATGTCCTGCCTTACAGCCGCCTGAAAGGGACTAGCGGAAGCCTTCCTGCCTTGCAAGCATCGACTGCAGACCAGGACGCCCCAGCAAACAGAACAGCCGACACAACAGAGCTAAAGTACGGCTTTGTTTTTCAGAGGATAATGACAAAACGGTGTTATCTTTCCTATCCTTCCTAAATAGTGTTTGCAAGCCCCAGTTTTTAACATCATATAAGTATAGAAAGTTGGGGAGAGGAGGGACTCACAATCCTACCACTCAGGGATCAGTTCAGCAGAGGGCTACACACTGCACCAGAGAGAACCAAATGCCCTGGAGTTGGTGTTGTGTTTTTTTTTTTTTAATAGTTGTGATGAAGTGTGACAGATTCAGCATTTCATGCAGCTCATTCCACTGTTCTCCTATTAAAGCTAATCTGACTTGACTCATGGGAGAGTGAAAGAGGCGCTGCCGTCGAAGAAGGGGGAGCTCCCACTGCTGGTTCTACAAAGACGACCCAGGTGGGATCAAGGTTTTGATTTAATAGTGAAAAGACCAGGAGCTAAAACTTCCAGTTTTTCTCAAGGCCTTACCCTGGAGTCCAAGGGTCTGAGAGCTGTGCTCCTTCCTGGTTAACCCATTAAAGACCCAATACAAATTCCTACATGCTGTGGGAAAAGCCTTTTTGTCTGGCTCTCGTAGACCAGCTTGTGCAGTTCAGTTTTTTTGTTTCGTCTTACCAGATTGGACCATGCAAAATGCCTTTAACTAATTCCCCCTGCCCCCAAAATTAGTTTTTGTTAACAGCTAATCTCCATAGCAAAACAGTTCTACAGACTACAAAAAGTCTCTACTGCACTTTTAAAATGAGCCTCACATTTTTTTTTCAAATAAAGGTTAAATTAAAAAGAATATTTTTTTACAATACAGCTGGCATTTTTAAGCAATTTTGTGATAGTAGTTTGACAGTATAATCCAAACAATACTGTCTGAGTAACAACACCACACCTGGAAGTCCTGTCACAGAACAGAAAAGGTTTTCATACAGACTGCGTAGGCTAAATGCTGAGCAGACGTCTCACTTAATGACACAGGGTAAATAAATACAGGACAGGGAGGAGACAGGAGCAAGGACTCAAATGCCAAAGTGCCTCATTTTAATAAAGGTCTCCCCTAACCCTCGCTCTGCTAGACAGCAGCACACATCAGCGCGGGAAGAAAGTTACGGGCCTTCCTTCTCCTAGTTCGCTGTCTTACCTTATAGGAGAGCAATTCCTGAACTTTGGGCTGTGCAGGACTGATGTCCTGCGCAGCTCTGTCAACAGAGACAACTTCCCGAAGCATTACACCTAGCTGTTGCCAGACCCAGCACCAAGACAAGAGCGAGCTTTGTATGGCTGCAGGGAGAAAGCCATGCTTTTCTTTTTAAACTGCAAAGAAGACAGCGCTTAAGTATTCCAAAAAGAAACATCCAAAAATCAAAGACTTAAGTGCAAATTACAGGTGTGAGCAGATGGGATCTGAATCAGTGCTGAAACCCAAGGAGGTCCCGCGAGGCAAAGTCAGAGCTACCGCAAACTGTGAATGCTGTGCTGCGAGGGGGAGCCGCTGCCGCGGCGCCACGCGCACGGAGCGCCGGGGAGCAGGACTCGGCGCTGGTTCAGACCAGACGAGGTTTACAAGGTATCCGCGCTGCCAGGCAGTGGCGTGCTTGGGATGCTATTTATTAATCCTGCCTAAGTCCGGGAGGGAAGGTTTTCATTTTGTGGTAGGGCTCTTCCCTCCTCCAGTGTGGCACCTTCCTTTCCTATCACAAGCTGTGACTTGACTGCCTGATTTTCTGAGGAGGCAAGTTGTCTTTTGTAGTTTTCGTTAAATAAAATGTAACCTCAGTCCGTGTGTTCTCAGCGTGCTCCTTTAAGACTCCAGCTGAAAGCTGATGCCCACAAAGGTCCTCGCAGGACGGCAGGTTATGTGTCGCTCTGGTTTTCGTCCCATCCTTTCTTATGCCCCATCTTGAACACCTTCACCAGCTGCATGAGCCAATGAAACTGTTAGCAGAGAAACTGTACACACAGTCATTAACACGCTGTAACTTTGTACCACCTTACTGTGCACACAGCAGCTCGTCTTTACCTCCGTCTCTGAGCCTGTGTATGCAGTTTCTTGCACTGCAGCTGGACGACGCCTGTTGAAAACCATGAACAAACCTACTTTTCAAAACTTCTGCAGATCAGCGTGGTCAACGTTCGCAGTATACGTTATATTGGGGTTTCAGTCTGAAAGACGAAGTCAGTGCAGAAGGACTTCCCAGAAAAGGGCCAGAGGGCAAGAAGTAGCACTGGAACGGGAACGGTAAAACCTGGAGCCTTCCTGCTGCCCCCAGGACTCCTGCCTGCTAGCACAGGCCCCCTCCGGGCACCGACCCCGGCGCTGGAGCTTTTCTACAGGAACCAGCGCACCAACGCTTCTGGCTTGGCCCCAGCGGGTTAAAAGCAGTGCTTTTCAGCAACCCTTGCCTCCCTGTTTTTGCTTCCCGTTTCCGGGGAAAACATCTGTGTTACAAATCAGCAGAGTAGCCAAAGTTTTCAAAGCGACCTACAACAAACCGTTATCTGATTAATTTTCTTTCAGAATTCAATAACGTTCCCAAATGAAAGCTTCTTTCATCAGATATTTAAGATTTCCCTGCTCGTTACGAACAACACGAGCACGGACAGTGCGGAGGTCGGGCATTCCCCTTGCCAGAAGTGGGAAGGCTGTTAAAATCCCCGGTGACATACAGCGCTCAAAAACTGACCTCTTTGGCTCTTGCCTTACGTCACATCAGACTTTCAGGTGCCTGCAGTTAACGATGCCGAGTAAGCAAATCTGCAAGTGCGCTTGAAGTCACCTACAGTCAGCATCCAGGGACTTGTTTTGTCCTCCAGGAAGTTTTCTGACAGATACCGTCGCTGTACATCAATGCTGAGATTTGGAGTCAACCGAAACACAGATGTGAAACCAACATTAAACCATCTACAGAAACACGGGAACACAAACGATTCAGAGTCACCCCCAACCCCCACGTTTCTCATTCACAAAACACGTACCATGGAAAGTTAAAGCAAATCACATCAAAACAGTCACATTTAAAGGAGAAAGATACCTTACTTCGGACCAGTATTCACCAGAATATTTCAAATAACCACCCTGACTTTTAAGTCACTACTTACAGTGTGTGTTCACTTAAAAGAACAGTTCATTTATACAGTCGCTCAGGTGAAGAAACTTCTCCGGTCAGGGAGCTGATCAGGATATAAGAAAACAGCGGAGGGAAGAGCAACATTCACAATAATTGTTTTACCGCATTGCAGGTTTCTCAAAAAAATTGCTGATGCTTCAAGAAGAGCGCAGGAGCCATAGCACCGCAGCCCTGGATCCCAGCCCGATCGTTCAGCGCGCCCATCGCCCCGCTTCCAGGCGCTACCGCTCCCTGGCGCCTCCAGACCAGCAGAAAGCCTTTCACGCGTGCGTTCTTCGGGGCTACCTTCGTATCGCGTTCGTGGGGTGCCCGTAAACACCTTCGCTGGTTTTAGTTCAGTCTGAACAGTCCTCATGGCTCAGGTCTTTCAGAATGCCGAAAGGGACGCTTGACTTGAGTGGTGCATTAATGGGGGGCGGTTTTCAGCAACCCCCTCGCGTTCCTCCTTAGCAAGGCATGCGAGTCTAACCCCATGCGTGGTCCTGAAAGCTGTGGTCACAGCACCAAACAGCACTTAACCAGATCTTCTGAGAAATCTGAGAAAAGCTTTTATTCCCGATACACCTGTCCAGCTGGGAGTCTAATTTGACCACCCTGGATTAAAGCTTTGCCAAGGGAATTAGATTGGTTTGCCTTAAAAGAGAACACATGTAGGTATAAAATACAGTCACCAAAGAAAAAGCAAAGAGTATTTCATGGCACAGCTCTGCCCGACAGTCTCAGACTGCCTCAGCTTCCTTCCTCGCTGCTGCAGGGCCCAACAAGCGCCACGGAAGAGGGAGCAACGGGAGGCAGATGTCCAGCTCCAAGTTCATCACCACCAAAAGACCAGCTGGACCCCCAAGCCTGCTCCCAAAAGTGCTCCAGATGGTTCGACTGGGTCAATTTTTAAGGCTACAGACCCATTATGCTCAGATTTATTCCTGTGGTCTAATTTCTGGCAAGGGCACCACGAGGTTTTGGTGCTTCGTAGGCGCTGGTCACCTCGAGGGCAGGAGCTCGCTCTGGCCTCCAGCACCTGCCCACTGCCCTGCCTCAGCCTCAGCCAACCGCACTACCCAGGTGCCTTACGGCTCCACTCACACCTACAGACCACTCCGTTCTCAGCCGGGGTTAGGTCCAGCCGCGGACTGGTTTTGAGGCTGTGGCCCCAACCCCACTGCAAGGCACGTAGCTGGACCGGTGCAAGCAGCAGCAGGGAGAGAGGAGCCCACGCTGCTAGCAGCAACCAGTCCAGGGCCAGGGCCAGGGCCAGGGCAGGTATTTTATACCCAAATACACAGAGTATTTAAGTACAGAGGGAAACTGCAATACTAGTGGGCAACTCGGCCAGTGAACATCTTTAATGTACAAAATGTGTTTTTAACATATGTTTGTTTAACAAGTCAGTTTTGCTTTTATTAAACCCAGCTTTGGTACAAGCAGGTCATTCCTGCAATTAGTTTACAAGTTTTAAAACAAAGCTAGAACTATTTGGCTTCTCCGTATTCCTGTGCAAAGTCAGAGAGGGGCACAGACGGACTGCTTCCCCCCCGCCGCTGGCGCACAGGGCAGTCGGTCTGCTCTGAGTACAGAGCTCACAGCCAGGAACTCCAGGTCTCCAGCTTTAAACTGCTTCCCCTCCATTAAACAAAGTGCATTCAGTTGTCCTTTAAAGCGGGTCCGTTATCACTGCACACATCCAAGGTTTACCAGGAGAGCCCGGCGCGGCGAGGCAGTTACCCGTAACCGAAGAAGCAAGCGCCAGCACGGCAGCAGGGCAGGGAGCTTTGGCAAAGGGGGTTAAGTTGAGGCACGTGTGTTACCCCTACAAAAGCTAAACACATGAGGGGTTGGGAGATTTTGGTTACAGAAGCCGTAAGTCTACGGAAGAAAGCTCGACAGAAGAGTTACTGCTAGGAAGCGTCCGGATGGTTGGTTAAGGCCATTAACGGGTTCTCTAGTTACAATCCCAAACCACAGTGAGGAGAGGAACAAGTGGAAATCCCATTACGACGACAGCTTCAGCAGCGCGCTGAACACTGGTCTCCCACTAGCACCACTTTGTTCCTCTTCCACTTAGACGTCTGGTCACAGTGTTAAATACTGCGTGTGGGTTCTCACCCAGAGATTAGTGTCTTGGTTTAAGTGCAAGCCATGCATTAGCCTTAATTCGCAATTTATCTTTTGGCAAGTAGCTTAGATTTCAACCTTATCAAGAAACCTGATCAAGCCAATTTTTCCCCATCGAGAGGCATCTTAGTCCTTGCTATATAATCTCTTCTGTGCAATATACTGCAAGCATTAAGGTGAAAGCACCAATTAATTTCTTCTGCATGAGATGTTTTGGCCTTAATAAATCTTCTAATTAACATGTCTTCCTGATGTTATGGAGCACGCACTGGGAAGACTAAAAAAGCTACAGAAAGAACAAAAGAGAATCAATACTTAAACTTTCAGTTATTTGCATTAAGTGTAGACAGCATGAAAGGTCAAAGCACAACTCTAACGTATGCCGCCTGATAATGCGCAGGCAGGGTGGGGTACTTAAGAGACACGTTTGACTTTAAACCATCCCACCTTGGGGAAGCTTTTATGGCAGCCAAGGTCTTGTTTGGAATTGGTAACCAGAGGGTTGATTTAAAATTTTAATGAGGTAAGAGCGCTGAAAGGGGAAACCCGAGAAGTCCGTGATTACGGAGCAGCCTCCGTCTCCTGTCTGCCCCCGTTTTGCCACAACCGCAGCCGGTCTGGCCTAGCGGCCCCTCGCCAAGGCCCAGCTTTTCCTGAAACTGGGAAACAAGGAGAGCATCCATCTCACTGTAGGAATGTTTTTATAATAATATTTTGCATTTCTCATCCCTTGCAAGCATTTTTAGGAGCTTTATACACAAATTAATGAATAATCTTAACATCACTCCTCTAGAGGAGCACTTGACAACATACGTTGTCCTAAATGACCAAGCGCCCCGTCTTTCAGATGACCAGCTGCTCTGCCTCCTTACGCTTTCCCAGTTAGTTGTCATGTACCTGAACGCACTTTCTCTTCTCTGATTTCCTGGAACAGCTGGCTTTAAAGGTATTTGGAGGGAAAGAGTTGCAAAACATCTCAGAGAGACCACTTGGCATCAGCTCTAGTCCCTATTCAGGCTCAAGCGATGGGAACGGGCTGCACGCAAAGTGAGCAGAACTGCCCCCGCCTTTGAAGCGGGCGGCGTATGAAATGTAAAAAGCAAAGATCTCTCTGATACAAACCAACTCCCGCAGCAACAGCACAGTCCTCTCATTGCTAACAAGATTTCAGAAGCAGCCAGTGCCACCGACTTGTTTTTGTTCTTGAAACTGGGGCTTCAGTCAGCAGCGCTGCTTCAGCAAAGGCTGCGCATCGGCCAAACTCCACCTTCTGCTTTGTCCTGTTCAAGTGCAAACTGATCTCATAGACCAGAAAATCAGAGAGACACTAGATAAACCAAATATAACTTCATAGGTAGCAACGCCCCACAGATCATACACCAAAACCAGGAAAAACTTCATCAGCAAACCTCCTTGGAGAACAAACCCCAAACTAAAACTGTGCGCTTTTTTTTTGTTTCCTGACGTGACCTAAGAGCATGTTGTGCCTCTCCAGAAAAACATACAGCTCTTGCTAACGTTAGGAGGAAGCACCATTAGGAAACTATCACCCTCCGCCTCTGCTCCCTTTTCACCCCATCCTTAAATAGTTCTTCTGGGGCACCTTTACGGCAGTGAAACTGGTGCTGAACCTCCCCTCTCAGTCACAGCATCCCACAAAGCAAGAGCACTAACAAGCTTAAAGGCAACTTTTGCCCACATGGGACAACATTTGAATTGCTACCGTAGGATTTCTCCCAGAATAGGGGGGAGGCACTGTCCCCACGTACTGCGTGATGGCAAAGGTCCCTATTTTACAACAGTCATATAGGAACTGTTGAGATCCAGGTAAGCTTTCGGTCATCACACGTTAGTATTTCAATAGAGATCCACTAGATAACAGAGGAAAACCACTGCTAAATAAATGACACCACAAAACTCAAAATAAATGTGAGATTTAATAAAAGAAAAAAAAGTACAAAGTATGTGGAAAGAACTGAAAGTCAAAAAACAAAACCAAAAAACCCCCCCACAATCCCCAACACATTGTGACTGACAGAGCCAAGAGATGCGACAGGTCAGAGAAGCACGCCAACTCCTCCGAGGCAGCTCCCCAAGCGCTCGGTGGGAGCCCAGCGGCCCCTTCCCCACCTCGCGGGGGTCCGCTGCACCCAGACACGGAGCCCACAGCACTTAGAGCCCTCCGAAACACATCGTAAATAAGAAAGCAGACAACATACATGGTGATAAATGTTTACATGATTAAAAAAAAAAAAGAGTGTTTTTTTTCATTAATACCAACCTTTTACAGATAAATGTAAAAAACAGCTGAAAGATGTGTAACCGAATAGCTTCAGTTATTTCTCAAGGGTTTCTTTTTCACTTCTTCTAGCCTACAGGACGTAAATCTTCAGACTGTAGTGAGATCAGCATCACAACATGTTCATAACTTGTTAAATAATAAGATACAGAACTACCCTATATACCACATATTTAAATCTCATTTCAGACCAAAAGAAAAAAAAAATCAAATACTAGAGAAAAAAAAACCAACAATAAAAAAACCAAACTCAGTCTTGTTGGGGAAATTATTATGTTGACTGCTCTAAAGAGTTGAGTGGCCAGAATGAAGTTAAGGTCAACAAAAAACTACATGGAAAAATGATGTCCATCGCAACAAAGACAATGTATATGTAATAGTCACCATTAAAATAGTTACATACATTCTGCATGTCTTCATCAGAAATAGCTGGAAATTTCTCCACAATGCCCATGGATTTGGAAGTTTTTACTCTTTCACTGCTCTCATTATTCTTAACTACCAGCTATTCTGGGGTGGGGGGGATCTCTGACGAGCCAGGTCAGAAAGAAACCGTTTGCATAGATGTTGCCGGCAGCAGCACCAGATCGGGAGAAAGCTATCGACGGGCAACCCGACCGCGAGGCCGCTGTCGGCACGCGCAGCACCATCGCGGGGAATTCGATTCCAGCCTTCCGCAACATCGGCCTGTGAGGAGGAAAGCCAGGAACCGAGTAGTGTTGCTTGCTCACGCAATTAGTGCAGCAGAGTTTTTCCATGAGTCGAAATCACACTCCTGATTTGCCACACGAGTGGATTTTAGTCCCTGGGGAATCTGCATTGTCCTCTCGTATGTAACAAGACCTTGTGTCCCTTGTATGCTTCTCTTAGAAAAACGCTCTAACCCCCGTAACAACTGAAAATTACTCTTTATAATATATCTAGCTTAGAGGCACAGCCTTAAAAATTAAGTGTTCAGCTTTCAGCAGACTCTTAAGTGCGCATAGTTTTTTACTCTTTTAAAAACGGTCTGTTCCAAAATGTACCTGGGGAATTTTCATGAGGTTCTTTCACACGAGCATCAAGTGACACTGACGTGACTTTCAGTATATCCATATAAAAGGCCAATGTCTGTATGAAAACAGTTCAACACCTGAGCATATATTAAAAAAAGACAAGACAGAGAGCTGCTTTAACGGGATATGCCAGTTGAAGAACCTCATCTTACAATCCAGCACAACGTTGCCTTCGAACAGACCTGTAAAGGCTCAGGTTCAAAGCTGCGCACCTCTGTTTAAAAGTCAAATGAGGAATTCGCTAACATATTAGCTTAGAGACAAACATTAAAAGAGAACTCCTATAACATTAATAAGTAAATAAAAATGCACACATTTGCAACTAACACTTAGCCAGCCAGTGTTTTCATAAACTCTAAACACACTACGTGGGCGCTAATATAAAATATTCGCTTTCCTTTAGCCCATTATCTGATGGAATTGGGTCTGTCTATTTGTGCACAACACCACAGCCAGCGAGTCTCTATCCAGGTATCGTCCTGCCTCATCACAGAATGGTTCGAGTGGGAAAAAGCGCTGTCGATCCTAACTACTCCTGCAAGCTGAGCTGCCAGGAAAGCTTGGCTATGACTTGTCTGCATGGCAGAAGTGTTAAAGAAAACCCCAGCATAAATATCAGCATAAATGCTGTGCATAGTTCTCAATATCAGGGGATTCTGCTTGTCAGGCACACGTTTATGGTTGCCTTTTTTTGTTTGTTTTGAACAATCTAAAAGTAAAGACGACCGATTAAATAGTTTTTCCACAAGAGTAAAACACACTGGTAAAAGACAAGAGAAGTTACACAAATCCTGCAAATCCACATTATACAACAAGCTCTTATGAGAAATCTTCCTAATTAAGTGTTCTACTTTAGCTGTAAAGAAAAATCAAAACATTGTCACATGAATTTTATTAACCACTCTCTCTCTATATATTATACATGACATAGCAAGTGTTTAGAGAAACTCAGGATTAAAGTGTGTAATTACCGGAATGAAGGTTACTCAGACCACGATTCCCAGGGCAGAAGTTCCAGGCACTGGGTTTTTCACCCGTTCTAAATTTATTCAAATCAAGGATCTTGTTGGGAAAACAAGTGTTTCAGCGTTCCTCACACCACTCCCCGCGGCTGCGCGCGTACGGGGGAAGGTATGCGAGGGGACAGGCCACGCCGGGCCTCAAGCACTCACCTTCGCCAGTTAGAAACAATCCAGAAAGCCAGTACGTAGGCGGTGGGTAAGAGCAGGTCAGACAGTTACGGTCACTTTACACACGGCTGCTTAATCACTAGGTTTAGAACAAAACTTCTCCTGGCTTTTGGGATTAGTTGACTTTGTTTAAGCAAACAAACAGAAGTTACGCGGTAAGTTTACGTCCTTAACGCCTACTGACAAGTTAACAGCAAGACGTTACACTGCCACCGCGGAAGATGCTCATTTTCTCTTTCACTTTGGTCCACTCACACAATGTTATGACAGAAGGATCACAAGGTGGGAAACTCAAGCAACTTAACACACGAAAGTACCAAGTCCACTCTTGGCCTGAAAGTCTGTGTGTGATTAACTGAAAGAAACAGAACAAAACAAAAAGCATGAATTAAAGTTATGAAAATTAAACAAAAGCAAAATGTAGTGAAATATGTTTTTAAAAAAAAAAAAAAAAAAAAAAAGAGCCAAGCACAGAAGGCATCTGAAGCACGTCCGGCACGGGAAGACTCACCGAACAGAGCAAGCGACACAGGGCACGGCACGGCCCGCTTGGCGACGGCAAACACGGCGGACAACCTCGGCAAACGCGTCCTCCCCCCCGCCAGCTCCTGCTATTCTCCCATCGCCCTCTTCGATTTTATTTATTAAACCTACTAAAACCCCTAATGTTGAAATATGAGGCAATAAGATCTTCAACTACCTTTTAAAGAAAATTAAAAAAAAAAAAATCAAAACATGAAAAATTGCCTCCCCAAAGACCCTTGCCTTCACCCCTGCTCCCCCCGAAGACCACGCTGCGTTCCCAGGCCTTGCGAGCTCACCCGCTATTAGACGTAAAACCCGAGAGACGCGCGCGCCTCCGCTGCCCCCC